TAGATACTGATGTTTGTACATGTCACTCTAAAGGTCTTTTGTAACCCTCTAAAGCTAGTGGTGGTCTACAGAGAGAGAGAGAGAGAGAGAGAGAGAGAGAGAGAGAGAAAGAGAGAGACAGACAGAGAGAGAGGGACAGAAAGAAAGAGAAAGAGAATGTAAGAGAGGGACAGACAGAGACAGATACAGAGAGAAAGAAAGACAGAGAGAGAGAGAGAGAGAGAGAGAGATGGAAAAAGGCAGTAAGAGAAATAGAAAGACATACTGACCGAAAGAGAGAGAGAGAGACAGGCAGACAGACAGACAGAAAGAAAGAGAGAGAGACAGAAAGAAAGAGAAAGAGAATGTGAGAGAGGGTCAGAGAGAGAGAAAAAGAGAGAGAGAGAGAGAGAGAGAGCGAGAGACAGAGAGAGAGATAGAGAGAAAGAGAGAAAGAGAGAGAGAGACAGAAAGAGAGAGAGATGGAAAAAGGCAGTAAGAGAGACAGAAAGATATACAGACTGAAAGAGAGAGAGAGAGACTGAGAGGAAGTCAAAGAAAGAGACAGAAAGAGCGAGACAGAGGAAGAGAGAGAGAGGGAGAAGGGGACAGAAAGAACGGGAATGTGCGAGAGAGAGAGACAGAGAGAGAAACAGAAAAGGAGGAAAGAGAGAGAGAGATAGAAACTGTGTGAAGACAGAGACAGAGAGTGAAACGGAGAGTGAGAGAAAGAGAGAGATATAAAGAGAGACTGTGAAACAAAGACAGAAACAGAGAGAGAGGAAGAGAGAGAGGGCAAAGGTAGAGAGAGGGACAAAAAAGAGAGGAATGAGAGAGGTAGGGAGAGAGAGGACAAGGACAGAGAGAGAAAGAGAGACAGACAGAAAGAAAGAGAGAGCGAGACAGACAGTAAAAGTTTGTGGCATCAAACTGAAACAGATTTAACAGAGAAGGTTGTGAACAGGCCTCTACAATGATCTGCTCTCACTGTATACTGTCCCTTCTTACTCTATTAAACAAATCACAACCAGACTAGACCAACTGTCCGCCTGCAACTAAACAGCCAACACCGGCGCTGCATAAAACAAACCCACAAAACACTCACAATCTTTAACATCCTCTATATGAATTAGCTGAAAGAGCCTTTTAAAGAAATCGCACTCACACACACACACACATCTAAAAGAGCAGAACATTCACACCATGCTTTAAGCCCTGTATTGTGCAGGCTTTGAGGCTGGATCAGAAGGATGCTGAACAGTGAGCCCGCTGTGGGTAATAAACAGGACCATAACAGCGCTCTGCTAAAATCCTCACAGGGCATTGGCTGCCATGCTCTTTCCATCGGCCAGAGCCTCGCGAGCAGTGTGCTGCAGCACAGTCGCTCCATCTGTGACAAACCAAGCTGATATACCTCATAATATTTGACCAGATCTGTGTGTCATACGCCGCTCTGCCAATAAACACAGTGTGCATGATCTATGATTATACTCTTCTGTCCATTCCTTATGGAAATCACATACAGTGACACAATACTTCCAGCAAGAACTGTTCCATCATTTGCACTTAAAAGGCCCAAATCCTATGTTTTTTTTGTGTTTTTTCTTCTCAATGAACAGTACCAGAAACAGATGCAAATTCATTACATTTCCATTTTCCAACCTCTCTTTATTCACCAGTATTAAACAGACTATTTTTGTTACTGTGCTGTAGACTGATGTATGACTTCTGTTCTGATTGGCTGCCCTGAACTGTGATGAAATGCCCTAAACACTCCTTACAACTTCAGTGTGAATGGGAGGATCTTAACTGCTGTACTCTGAAGACGGGGTATATGAAAATGTGCTGGTTTTCATGATGTCACAAAAACAATGATTTCAAAATAAGCTGTTTGTGCAGCTTTGTTTGCATACTGGGACGTGAACAGCATGTTCTGAAAGTTCTACAGTGATTACATGTTACATCAAACTCTTTCAATTCAGAAAAGCATTGGAAACTAGTTTTCCCTAATATGGGCCCTTTCACACTCTGAACTTACATAACAATGTACAGTGTACAGAGCCCTGCTGGTGACATCCTGTATAAATAAAAATAATGAGTGACCACGACTTAGTAAGGCATGAGAATGAGATTCTAATACATGGCCATGACTTAGTAAGGCATGGGAATGATATCCTAATGCATGATCATGACTTAGTAAGGCATTGGAATGAGATCCTAATGCATGATCATGACTTAGTAAGGCATGGGAATGAGACCTAATGCATGGTCATGACTTAGTAAGGCATGGGAATGAGACCTAATGCATGGTCATGACTTAGTAAGGCATGGGAATGAGACCTAATGCATGGTCATGACTTAGTAAGGCATGGGAATGAGACCTAATGCATGGTCATGACTTAGTAAGGCATGGGAATGAGACCTAATGCATGGTCATGACTTAGTAAGGCATGGGAATGAGACCTAATGCATGGTCATGACTTAGTAAGGCATGGGAATGAGACCTAATGCATGGTCATGACTTAGTAAGGCATGGGAATGAGACCTAATGCATGGTCATGACTTAGTAAGGCATGGGAATGAGACCTAATGCGTGGCCATGACTTATTAAGGTGTGTGAATGAGATTCTTATGCATGGCCATGACTTAGTAAAGTGTGGGAATGAGCTCCCAATGCGTGGCCATGACTTAGTAAGGTGAGGGAATGAGATTGTAATGCGTGGCCATGACTTAGTAAGGCATGGGAATGAGATCCTAATGCATGGCTGTGACTTAGTAAAGTGTGAGAATGAGCTCCTAATGCGTGGTCATGACTTAGTAAGGCGAGGGAATGAGATTGTAATGCGTGGCCATGACTTAGCAAGGCATGGGAGTGAGATCCTAATGCATGGCCATGACTTAGTAAGGCATGGGAATAAGATCCTGATGCGTGGCCATGACTTAGTAAGGTGTGGGAATGAAGTCCTAATACGTGGCCATGACTTAGTAAGGCGTGGGAATGAGGTCCAAATGCGTGGCCATGACTTAGTGAGGCGTGGGAATGAAGTCCTAATATGTGGCCATGACTTAGTATGGTGCAGGAATGAAGTCCTAATGCGTAGCCATGACTAAGTAAGGCGCAGGAATGAGATCCTAATGCTTGGCCATGACTTGGTAAAGCGTGAGAATGAGATTCTAATGCATGGCCATGACTTAGTAAGGTGTGGGAATGAGAGCCAAATGCGTGGGCGTGACTTGGTAAAGCATGGGAATGACATTGTAATGCATGGCCATGACTTAGTAAGACATGGGAATGAGATCGTAATGCATGGCTATGACTTAGCAAGGCATGATCTTGTTCCAACACCTTTCTAAGTCATGGCCATGACTTAATTATTTCATTCCCATGCCTTACCAAGTTGTGGCCACACATTATTTGGATTTATACAGGTTGTCACCAGCAGGGCTCTGTAATGTACTGTATATTTTAGATATATATTATATATCATCCCTGTGAAGGCCAGAGCACACTGACCAAACAAACACCATGTTTGGCTGGTATAAACCTGTGTTTGCTGCAGGAAGAGATATCTAGAATGTTCTCTCCACATTCGCTCTGGTTCATTTGGTTCATTATTTCTTTTTCTGTGCATTTTGAGGACAACCACAGACCTCTGAATGTTTCTGTTAGTTTCAGACTGTTTTGTTGGTGTTTGGCCTCAACACTGATTCAGCTCTACCCTCTTCAGTTGTTTTCTCTGTGCAGTGACTCATGAAGTTGATTTTTTTTGGTATGAAGGCATATTCGGATTCCTCCGAGCCATCAAAATGACCTGATCTGTGACGCCTTTCATTGAGGCTTAAAGGCAAAGATTTAAATTAGTCAATCACTGGACAAATGGTTTGTGAATTGCTTGAAGCTGGTCCTCCATGCATCAGTAACACTCGACACTAGTCAGCTCAGAGCTCATCACTGCTGGGGTACTTGGGCCCCTGGAGAAATATAAACAAACTCTGAGAGAGAGAGTGAGAGAGAGAGAGAGAGAGAGAGAGAGAGAGAGAGAGAGAGAGAGAGAGAGAGAGAGAGAATATGAGTCAGTGTGAGACAGCATGTATGTGTGAGAGAGTAAATGAGTGAGGGGGCGATCAAGTGAGAAAGAAAGAGAGGGAGAGAAGTGAAAGGGTGAAAGAGAAACAGAGAGAGACAGAATGAGTGATTGAGAGTGAGTGAGAAACAGAATGACTGAGAGAAGAGAGAGATGGAGAGAGAGAGAGAAAGAGAGCAAGACAGAGAGAGACAGAGGAAAAAGAGGAAGAGGGTGAGAGAGTGACTGAGAGAAAAGCAGGGAGAGAGAGATGAGTAAATGAACGAGCTAATGAATGAGAACGAGATAGCGAGGAACAGAGAAGAAAGGGGGATAGGGAGTGATAGAGGATGACAGAGTGAAAGAATAAATGAGAGTGAGTGAATGAGTGAGTAATATAGAGGCAGAGGGAGAGAAATTAGGAAAATGAGTGCATGTGTGTGTGCGAGAGAGAGGGTGAGTGAGTGATTTGAGATATATAGAGGCATAGATAGAGAGAAATTAGGAAATTGTGTGTGTGTGAGAAAGAGAGATAGAGGGGTCATAAGAATGATAGAGCGAATGAATAAGTAAATGAGCGAGTGAGTAATTTAGTGATTTGAGAGAGAGAGAGAGAAAGTAAATGGGAAATCGAGTGACGAGGAAGAGAGAGAGAGAGAGAGAGAGAATACATATGACCCATCAAATAGCATCACATGGCATCATAAATAGCTGAATGTTCTTGCGGGATTAGAGTTGTAGCTCAGCAGCTCAGGTACTGCGTGTAATAGGCTTAATGCGCCGCTGTGCGCTGCCCGTCTCTCATGTGGATACATGACAGACTAAAGGCAGCACATTCTGCAGCACAAACTCACTAAAGCACCCCGCGGCCAGCTTCACAGGCAGGGCTGGACTTGGGAGATGCTTTTAGCGTGTTAACGCAGCGCGAACGGGAGCACAAACCGAGCGTTAACTCACCCCAACAACGAGCAGCCTGTAAACTTGACCCGAGCTCGTCCCATTCTCCGCTGAAACGTCCACACAGTCGCTGCCTCCCAACTTCATCCAGTGTTCGGCTTCAGAAATATCAGGGCGCGCGTGCAGAGAAAACAGGAGCACAAACCGAACCAGGAGCGAAAAAAAGTCGGTCAGTCCGCGCCAGTGCCCTAGTCCACTGACGAACTTGGGTAACACACTGCTCCCATTGTGCAGCGCGAGCGGGGCTGTCCGATTGTTCCCCCAGCACCTCCTGCACGCGCCTAGAACGACCTTTTTGGTCCTGAGCGGAGCTGAAACGTATCCTTTGAGCGCGAGAGGGCTGGAAGGTAGCGCGTGGAGCTGCGATAGACCGCAGTGCTGCACGGTGCGTAATGCCTATAGACGACGCTTAAATATTCCCTCATAAAAGTCCGAGACAGCTCTGCTCTGCTTGACCCTCCTGCTCTGCATCGTCGTCCCTGTGTGTGTCTGCGTGTGTTTGCGCGCGCGTGTGTGTTTGTGTGCGAGGGGACCACATTTCAATGCATAGACGCTGATCGCCACGGCTGCCTTGCTTCTTTGCTGCCCCCCTCTTTCTCTCTCTCTCTCTCACTCACTCAAGTCACATGTTTAAAACACAAGTAGTCCTCTGTAATGTTTTTTGGAGGGTGTGCTCGAGCCCCTTGACGAGGCAGGAATGATAACTACATTAGAAGCTAAAGCCCCCTTTATTTAAGAAAGCTGCCGCTATACAGGCTTATATACCCAGCTTTATGTCTGTTAGTGGGATTGCAGGCTGAAGCTTGATTTTATTTAGAAAAAATAATGTTTTTGAGTTTGGAATTTGCAGATTTGTCCTAAATGGTTCTTGGCTTGAGCGCATGGTTCTAGGAAAAACCTTGCAATGATAATAGATGTGCATATTCAGTGACATTCGGCATGCGGTATTGTTGTCTTAAAATATTGTCACTGCATTTCAATCAAACAAGAAGCAGTTTTACCACAGATGTTTTTAGACACACAGAGTAGCTCTGGTTTCACATCCTGTTTTATTTGATGTTTATACAGCTGTTTTAGTGTGTTATTGGCCTGAGCTGAGCACCTTCACAGCTCACAGTAAAGGTGTCAGCGCTATTCTTTCATTCTCAGTGTGCTAGCTCGAGGGTCCACCACCCAGCCAGAGCAAACAATAACAACAACAATAAATTTAGGAAAAACTAAATACATGGTGGCTATTAAGACTATCAAAAAATAAGATTCCATAAATGAATGAAGATTACTGTGCCATCATACAGAACACTATCAAGGGAGTCTTTTTCAAAGAATCCCCAAAATGTATAATCCCCAATATATTATTGCTAAAAATCACATCACAACACTACTTGCTTGTTCACTGTGAAATAAAGGTTCTGTGCAGGTACATTTTTCGCTCATCAAGGAACAGACAATGTAAATGTACCCTCAAAGGTACAACAGTGGTTTTAAGGTACAATTGTGTAACTTAAATAACATTTTTCCAAGTGAAAAGTACATATTTACACCAAATGTTTCAAAACAGAAGAATAAAAAAGGCCTGGAGATGAGACGGGGTATGTGGAGTCAATAAAACTTAGAAAATATAATTTTAGTGGATTTTGGAACAGTTATGTTTCCTGACTAAATGTACCCTTGAGGGTACCACCCCGGTGACAAGAGGGGTACTCCCCCAGTGACAGCTTCGTACCTTTTTTTCTGAGAGTGCACATGTATTATAACATGGAGTGTTTATTCATAACACAGTATCATGGTAATACCCAAACTGTGATAAACATGCCTAATTGGTGCACTCTCAGAAAAAAAAAGGTACTAAACTGTCACTGGGGTGGTACCCTCTCTCACTCTTTTAAGTTGTGTTGACTACCACACACCCTGTCTCATCTCCAGGCTTTTTATTTTATTGTTCTGTTTTAAAATATCAAGTTATAAAAGGGTACAAATATATACTTTTCTTATGGGACAAAAACTTATTTAATGAACACAATAGAACCTTAAAACTGCTGTTGTAACTTTGTGGATACATTTACATTCTACCTTGATGAATGAACGCATTACCTTTTTTATCTAACAGTGTAGAGAAACATTACGTTATGTGGAGGTTCTTTCATTTTTAAAAAGGTTCTTAGCACTCACATCTTATGTACAAAATGGATATTTAATAATTCATTGAAAGGTTCTTTAAGGAACCAAAATGGTTCTTTGATGGCATCACTCCAGAGAACCCTTTTTGGCACATTCATATTCATGTGTTACATTGAATTTACTTGATTTAACCCCTTAACAATCCAGGCTTATTACATACAAATGTATATTATTCATTAACTACAGGGACTTCAATACAAACTAATGGAGCTATTATTAGGTTATAGAAGTGTGATCTTAAAATAGGTCAGATCAGCACAATTTTGTCTTTTAAATCCTTAGTTTTGGCAAAAAACTGCGTTGATGTTATATGACAGGGTAAATAAATTGTCACAATACACTACAAATGGCTTTCCTGTGCACATTAGGTTACCTGAAGAACACTGACTAACTACATTTCATTAAAAAGAGAGCATAATTGATCCTGTTTAATTGGATTTAGTGCAGCTGTGAAACATTTAATAAAAATCATGCTTTCAATAAATGTGGCTCCACTGGGTCATTCTGTGTGTTCCAACTTACGCAAACTCAGTAAAACTACTGTGATACACACTGTATATAACAAAAACATCAAAGTATCATGACACTGTAATTTTGCCATGTCACCCACTCTTATGATCTAATAGATTTTATTCATGTGGAAATGAAACCGATTAGGATCAAGCAAATTCAAGAGCGCTGTTCTGACTGCAGCCCTGGTTGAGTAAAATCTCTTAGAGTAAGTAGAAAATGTATGCAGTGAAGTTGCCCTGAGATAAATGGAAAACTCCATATACTAGCAGATCTATATTTGTGCCATATCAAGAGGCAGAGCTGTGCCATTATGTGCTCCCTTAATGTGTGTAGGTGCTGCGCTCCCTTCTTTGGACCCTAGCCCTCATCTATGCTGGAAGAGTGAGTCAGACTGCAGAGGCAGGTAATAAAATCATGCTTCTGATTTTTTTTACCCCAATGCATCCATTCAAATTCCTCAGTGAGAATGAATAGTGTCTTACAACAAGAGAGGAAATGGCAAATGACAAGCATTCAGCACTGCTACTATTGGACATGTTCCTGATGTCATTTTAGATATATTTAGTCTTTTTTTTTTCTTTTTTTCGGCTGCTTGAGAGTTTTAGTGAAAACCTGTCTGCAGTGTTCAGAGCGAGCACTACTCTTTAACCATGGACACACAGAACAAATCCATCGCTGAGGTTGGCAAAGAGAGGCTGTTTGTCTTCTGGTGATTTGCAGGAACACCGATCTGTGCTGTGTGTGTGTGTGTGTGTGTGTTATCAGAGAACAGATCGTGATAGATGGGCTAAAGCCACAGCGGAACAGCTCTGGACTCTCAGCAAAACAGGAACTGTCCATGGTGCTGAACTCATAATTCACGAAGCCCCAGCGTAATTCTGATCATATGATTACACACGAGTTACTTCGCTATTTGTCACTGCAGTTTTACAGTGTTTGAGTTTGAATATATACATCTCTGGAATTTAATTTTATAAACCAGTTTTATTAAAGAAGAAAAATGGGTAAAATTTTATTTTATAGTGCCATTATTACACCACAATTAACTAACTGTTGAATAAACAGAGCTTACAAGGCTTGGAATATGGAAATAATATCTGTTAAACAACTTGTACATAGTAAGTAGTTTCAAAATTATGAAATGATTCTAGTTCAAATTCATATTAACGCCTTAAAATCCCAGGCTTATTACAAACTAGGACTTATTCTTCAGTAACTACAGGGACTAAACTGGCTGAGCTATTCTTAGGTTATAGAAGTGTATGATAAACCTTTGGGCCTGTTGGTGGTCTCTGGCCATTTAAGGGGTTAACCAGCAAATAATAAACAAGCACATTATCAAGTCATCACTAAGTGAATGCTATCAAGCATCAGTTTAACTACAACAATAGCTAAATGGTAAACAGTGCTAACCAACTAAGTAGGACAAAGTGCTAATGCTAGCTTAGCAAGTATGATAACAGCTCCACACCCCTCAAAACAGGTCTAATTAACTTCTCTGCTGAGGATAAAGGCTCAAATGTGAGTAAGCAAAGTCCAGTTAGCAATCCTGTGATGTGTTCAGTTGTTAGTCTGCTATCTAAGCTAGTGCTAGGATAACAGCCAGCTCCACTCTGCTGTCCTAGCACTGTTAACATTTTGCACTTGTTGTTAGATTGATGCTTTAGCATTTATTGAATAGTAAATATTTCCCTTGACTGTTTTTGTTCTGTTTAATCTGATAAGCTGACTGAAAGGCTGAAGGTTGTTAAAATAAAAGTGCATTCAATTTTAAAAGAAGTACATACTTGGAATCAGTTTCGAACGCTGTTCTTACTATTTATGAAACTGTTAACTGTAGTTACACTGTAAAGTAATTTGTTGCCAGGGAGTTAATTGCTAATGCAATACTGCCTTTACTAGAAGCATCTTTTTTAGCTTTACAGAAGGCAACAACATCAGGTCTTAATAAGACTCAAGCATGCTATTACTGTCTTTAACCTTTTCTAGATCACTGTACCAGTCCCTGTACACTTCCGTCAAAACATTCTATTGTGGTTTTTTTTATGTATCATATAATCCAGCAATATAGTGACAGAATATAGTGTAGAAAAGCTTGAAATCTCAGGATTCGATTCCCGATACGATCAGTAAATTTGCAATATAAGCACCAAATGGGTAAATGCAGGCAAATCTGTGAATCCTTACCTTCAAAGATTTGCTACTACCCACAGAGACATTATAATCTAGAACATGTGGTCTTAATAACATGGCTAGAGTCAGAGATCAGTTCAGAGATATATGAGTAAGGTGGAAATAAACTCATCCATTCTATCATCTGTTATTCTCTTTCAACAATTCATACCATTATTCTCACGGTTGGAGGACAAAAACTTGAGAATGTTTCCTTTCAAATGAGACCAAGATCATGACTGTAGCCCAAAGTATTTGGGTGCTCCTTTAACTTTGGGTACAGTGCTCCTTTAACTTTGGGTATGTTGTTACTGATGCACAGTTAAAAGGTTAAAATCTATTCAGTGTACAATGAAGCATTTCTTTAATAAGTATGTGAAATGACTATGACT